ACCAGTCCTCTGACATTTCCAGGGCTATCCTGAGTCACTTGGATATAAAGTTTTGCTCCATGGATCTATCTAAAGAGTGTCCTCCATCAGAGTGGGATGACACCCCAGTCCTGGTCCAGGCAGAAAACAACTCTATGGCTTTGAGGCTCCAAACATGGATTACATGCAAGGAGCTGGATACTCCTCTGAGGATGGAAATGGTGTGGGGTGGTTTTATGTTATGCCACGGGTCACCGTGGTAAATGAAACCCCAGAACTTATTTTCACAGTGGCTGGCTGGGAAAATAAAGCATCATATTGAAGGGATAAAGCAGGAAGCATCCTCCTGCCTGCTCCCTGCCAGGCAAACACACACCCACACACAGGCTCAGGGATCAGACGTGGCTGCTTTCAAAGCCTTTTTCCTCACTGCATTGAACAATTCCCCTCCTCAGCTTCCTCCAGCTCACCCATTGCAATAAAACCAGCTAATACAGAGTCACTGGGTGCAGCAGTGAGAGCTCCCAGAGACCTTCCTCCCCCCCCCACGAGAAAAAAAAAAAAAAAAAAAAAAAAAAAAAGAAAAAAAAGAGAAAAAAAGCTGTTTGGATTTAGCAGGAGCACCAGGTTGACTCATCACAATTTAGCCCACCCAAACAATTAATATCCGAGGCTGCCTCCCAGAGGTGAGCTGCAAGAGGAAGCCACCCTGCACATCCAGAGTCCTCCAGCTGCTCTCCCAACGGGATGTGCACTCCTCACCCACTGGATTCCTTGGCCACAATTTCACAGGTGAGCAGGGCAATTTCAGCAGCAAGGCACCAACAACACTTTGGGATTGTCTGGACCAACACTTTGGCTGTTGGGCTAGTTTGGCTATTCTCCCCATCCCCCTCCTTTTTTTTTTTTTATACAGGTTGAAGGAGAAGTTTGGGTTGTTTTTTTTTTTGTTGGACCCTCTAAAAATTGATTTAAGACTTGCAAGGATTTCTTGCTTAAGCACTACATGGAGAAGAGAAACAGTAAATACCTCCAGAGATCCCACAAGCTGGCAAAGGCCCAAGATCAGGCCAGTTGAGGCTCTTCAGTAGACTTTTCCTGAAGCATTTAAATAATTTAGAAAGCATTAACTCTTACTGACAGCTTCTCAGGCAGCTCGTTCCCTTGCAGGGCCCTATCAGAAGCCTCATCACTCTTATTCCAAAAGAAAAAGAAATACTGCAACAGCCCCAAACCTTGGTCAGGGTTGAAGATGGATTTTAAAAGATGCCTGAGATATTTTTCTCTGTTGAAATGCCTTCTTTGTACAGGCAGGTCTTCCAGAGGCCACCACCTGCCACTTATCTGCAGTGGCACTGTGTGAACCATGTAAAAATGGTTAAGNCTGTAGGACAGAGGATTTCTATCAAACATTGTATCACAAGGCACTACCTGTGTGTCCACGTACATTGAACACGTATATAGTGTGACAACATTTCACTGACTTGGGGCTATTCAGAGGGCAGGAGCTGCTCCCTGCAGGGGTTTAAATGTGTAAATACTGTAAAAATTAACCAGCAGGGAGGAGTAAACTGGTGGGAATAAGCCTTTCTTGGGGGTTAAGTAGAAGAGATGCTGCAGCAGCACCAGTCTCACTCTGGAACATCCCTCCCTCCTCCAGGGTACCAGGGTCATGTTTTGGAACAAAGTGAATTTCTAGAAAGTTTTTTTCCCCCCCCGCTATCTTATCACCACCAGAAATGAAAACAGCTGCTGAAAAGGCAGCAGGGGCTCAGCCAAGCTTTTACAGCAAAGTTGCTCCTGCACCCCCTTCCCACCAGCATCTCCCAAAAAGCACTGGGTGGAACAGATCTAACCCACAGAAAACCAGGAATTATCCCAAACCCAAGGTCTGTACTGGAAACAGAAGCAGAGCACTGAACCCAGCCACCTGATCACCAAACACGTTCTCAGTTGTGCTTCTCATCAAGACTCAGAAAGAAAATCCTCCCTCTGCCACGAAAAGCAAGAACAGCCCAAAGGATCCCCAAATGGCCACAGAGCTGCACATCCATCCCCCCAAAAACAGGGTCTGCAATTCCCACCAGGCTCAGCAGGACAACACAAACCACCCCATGCACTTCCCCATGTTCAGGAGCCAAAAAACAACATCAGTGACAACAACAACAACACCACAGGTGGGGGGGAGAGGCAGCAGCACCAGATCCCATTTTCCTGTCCATCACCAATCCAAAATTAAAATGCCCCAGTCCAGTGATGAAATAACTGCAGACTGACATGCTGTGAGATAATGTTATTCATTAGGATGTTGTTTATGGTTCATCTACAAGGCTTCCACAGCTACAGCACCAGGGAGCATTTTAGACACACTACATGCATGATTTTGTCTCCACTCAGCACTGCACTTCCCCCAAGTGAAACAGCTCTACGGAAAGCTCACTGACAGGCTGGGAGGATGTTTTGCCATTAATTAAGAGAAAAACCAGAACAGAGAAGCTCTTTAGTGCTCATCTCCCCATGCATACCTTGAAACTAAATTCAAACCCCGACAGCCAGCGCTCTTGGTTAATTTAAATGGAATTCAAAAGGCATTCTCCATCCTTAAACACAGAAACATCCAGCACAGGCAATAGATATCATCACTAAGCAGAGCAAAGCCCATAGAAAATACATCAAGCACTGCCTTACTTTAGTGAATTAAATAATTCAAGAGCTGGCAGAGCTGCTTTTTCAGATTTCCTGACCAAATGCATCACCCAGCAACAGCAGCGCTTCAGTTTTGGGAGGGGAGGGTTTAAGACCACAACTTACCTGCACTACTTCTTCAACAGAGAGATGCCTGTGCTCTCTGCTCAGGGCTGCTCCCCCAGAGCCACCAGCACTTGTCCCCAAAGGCCACTCGCTCAGGTGGCCGAGGCAGAGCCGGCTCCTGCTTTTTCACTGGCTCCAATATTAATCCATCCAGAGCATCTTTGTCCCTCACTTCCAATTGGCGAGCGGCGGATGGGTGGAGTGAGAGCGCGACCCATTAGCTCCCAGATGGACACCTCCAGCCCAGCCCTGCCAGCCCCACACCTGGCCAGCACCTCTGCACATGCCACCACTGCCCCAGCCGAGGATTTGGGCTGTGTCCTCCTGCAGCCACCCAGACCCCGCAGCCTCTCGGAGCTCTTTGCCTCTAAGAGCAAAAACAGAGCGGTTAAAGTGACCCAGCGCTCCGGAGCCGGAGAGTTTTGCTGGATGCAGGATGGAGAAAGCTCCTGCGCCTCCTTAAAAAAGAAAAAAAAAGCTCTCTGCCAGCCAGAGCTGAAGTGAGAAGATGCTGTACCTTACAGACAGAAGTACAGGGAAAACCAGAGGATGAAAAAAAAGGAGGAGGGGGGAAAAAACCTGCTGCTGAGAGGGAGATAGAGCAAATTCCTTAAAGATACAGCTGCCGTGCCTGCCGGGCTCTGGTGTTTCATGCAGCTCAGCTGCACTGCAGCGGCACTGCAAGGGTTAATGCATGCATGCAGCGGAATGAGAAACAGGGCAGCAAGTCCGTGCTCCAGCAGCAAGTTGCAGAATTTAGAGCTGAAAGACCTCACCTCATCCGAGGGGATTTAAAGCCCAGCGCTGGACCAGGAGGTGCCCAAAAAGCTCTGGAGGAGAAGATGCCACATCCCCTCCTCCTGCTCCAGCCTATTCTACACTGCTTCACTTTCCTTGCAATTCCAGATTTTCAGCACAATAAGCCAAGTCTCCCCCAGCTGGATATTTAAAGCCCAGAGGAATGGTCTAAGCTGGCCAAACAAACAAAACAAAACAAAAAGGGGGGGGAAAAAAATAAAAAAAACAAAAACAAACTCCCCAAAGCAACATCAACTCAGCCTTAGAAAAGGCAGAACCCTAAAAGAATAAGACACAAATAAACAGCGAATTACCCAAACGCTGGCAAGGCTGGGTCACTCCCCTACTACAGAAACTCTGACAATCACTGTGACTTCAGTAAAAAAAAATTCCCAGTGATGCTATTTAGCAGGAGGCAGCAAACATTTCCCAGAGCAAGGCAAGGGGAGGCAGCACCCAGCTGGGGAAGGGGCATCAAGCCCCCATGCCCAGGCCCTGCCACAGGCTCGTTCCCCTGCACAGAACCACAGGCAATTCGTGTTTTTAAACACCTCCCACGCGTTTTCTCTGCTGAGATTGCTCAGCCAGTCTCCTCCATTTTTTTTAATTTTTTTTTTTTCCCTTGCCATGCCACCTGACGAGCTTTTCCAGGTAAGGCACATCACAGACTGGAAGTAAGATGCTGAGGAGGTAGAGAGTGGTTCAGGAAGTGTTTGAGACCCCTGGAGGTCTCCAGTCCCACTCCCTGCTCCACCTTTAAAGAGAAATCAGGACAACACCTCACCGAACAAGACATCTTCCCCCAAAAAAAAAGTTTTATAAGAACTTGAGACTCCCATCCTTAGGATCAGCACTTCCAGAGCTCAGCTCCTAAACCAGCAGGATTCACCAAGCTCCCCACAGTACATTAAAGCAAGATTTGAACCGAGCTGGAATTTTTAAGGTAATTCCTCACAGTGAGACAAACCTGCATTAGAATATCTTCAAACCTTCCTCTACCCCACACCTGATACCTCCACTAACAGTTTAGAGGACACCTGACAGCATCACAACCCTAAAGGTGAACCGAGCCCCAGCAGGTATTTCAGGTTTCACGCCGTGCCGGATTCATTTCAGCAAGTGAACAAGCTCAGGAAACAAAAGACTGGCTCAGATCAGTTTCTATTTTTAATTTTTTTCCACGCTGAGGTTGTTTATCAGCTTTCCCTGGGTGCAGCAGGGACCAGAGCTCCTGGACGGAGATGCCAGAGGCCAAGCTGTGGGAGCAGGAGAGATCCCAGAGCATCACCACAACCAACCCAAGTCCCACCTGCGCTGCCTCCCTCTTTACCAACCACCTCCAAAACCTCCTCCAAACCCCACTGGGCTTCTCTGCTGCCCTGTCCCAACCCTTCCAAGCCCCGGTCACGCACCATCCACTGGCCTGCTCCACCTCTGCGGCACCAAACGCTGCGGCCACGGGGCCAAATCCTGGGAAGAGCCAGCGCTGGCCCCGAACTGGCCGTAGGGCGAGCGCAGGAAGGTGAGCCGGGGGTAGCAGAAGGATGCTGGCTCCATCAGCACGGAGAAGAGAGGAGAGCCAGGTACGAAGCAAACCGCGTCTCCCTTCGCCTCCTGCAGAGCGTACTCTTGGGACATGCAGTCTCAGAGCCTTCTCCCAGAGAAGTTCTTTTGTCCCCCAAAGGATTTAGTGCACAAAAAAAAAAATAAAATAGTAATAATAAAGAGGAATAAAAGAAAGCCCAAAGACGCCGGAGCAGCCCCGCTGCTGCTGTCAGAGCCCAGCAGAGCACACTGGCAAGGCAGCGTCTCCAGCCTGTATTTAAACGCCCCTCTCAGAAAGCAGAGATGCAGCACAGGAAGAGACAAATTCCAGCTCTGCGTCGGGCTGATAAGCCAGGTTTATAATATTCAAGAAGTATTGGCATTACTACAGTTCCTCCCTCCCCCCCCCACCCTCCACCTCCTCCCACAACGAATATCTTGTGCAGGAGCTTGTTGTGCACAATAAGCA